ATACACACATCGGTAGCTACTGCGGCTTTCGTAGTAATATGTTTGACAGTAGCGTATAGATCGTCGTAAGGGCGAGGACACTGCCTACCATATTACCTGAGTGCCGACTAACGGCGTATCTCGGCGGGGTTAGCGGACTTCAATGGTTTGTTATCCTTTCTTAGGTGCTGGATCACAGAACCTTTATTTTTTTGCACTTGCCCAAGTTTTTCTCTTGTGGTTAAATTCTTGTCTCTCCCGTTTGTGGGCGGGGGTCTTTCAGGTTGGCTCTCCCCCCCCGGAATTTTTGAAAAAGAAAACACACAAAAATGCGAAACAATACCTTGCGGGAACAGTTGTTTTTTCTTTCCGTGGGGGGGGGGGGGGGGGGTGTTCAGGGGGGCTAGCCCCCCTGGCAACAACAATAATTTAAAGACACTCACACACACACATATAAACAATAGCATGATAAGTCGCGAGCAGGGCCAATGGGGTTGCAATTATGCAAATGAGCTCTCGTGCCCATCTCTAGCCCTCCATTGTACTTTGCCGGACCAGGAGTAGGCCTAGGGCCTAGGCCAAGCCAGCAGAGTCGCGAGCAAATAAGAATAGTGGACCACGTGATTAGATTGACCAATTAGCCTCAAGGTGTCAGGGTCATGGGTCAAAGGGCACAGTGGCACGGTCGTGATGACTGAAAAACCCGGTAAGAGACGGCAGTCGGTTGCTGGCAGTTGAAGAGTGAGGACGTAGAAAACTGAGTAGGAGAGTGAGTAGGGGAGCTCGGAAACGAAGAACAGCGGGCCACTAGGCACCAGGGGCGCCACAGCGAAAGTAGTTCCGACCGGTGGTCCGGTAAAGTACAATCTTACCTAGATCTATACCCAAATAGGCCAATACTTGGGCATTATTGGTCATTGGAATCAGGTCCTTGACTTGACTAGCATCTTGATCTAGATCTAGATATATATGATCTAGATCTAGATCTAGAGACGCTCTTCTTGCCAGTCTTGGCCTACTAGATCTAGATTCTATATCTAGATCTAAATCTAGATCTGCAGTCAAGGACTCTAGATCTAGAGATCTAGATTCTAGATTCTAGAATCTCTATGATATCGCCGCTAAGGCTAGGCTCTAGCCTAGAATCTAGGCTAGTTAACAGTTCAAGTCCTCCTTTTTCCTCTTACCCAGTCCAGTAAAAGTCAGTATCAGCGTACAGCAGCCCAAAAATGGAACTGTTATGGCTGAAATATACACCACAACATTATGATCGAACTTTAAAAACTGCGCAGAAATTCCTGGCTGCCTTGATGCGAAGTAGCATTTTGCCTTTCTAAAAGTAAACAAAACAAGACTGCACTTTTTCTTCTCCTGAACGAATAGAATGCACTTGTTTGCCAGTTCCTGTTCGTGTCGAAGAGCAAGGTTGCCAGGCAAACTTGAAAACAATCAAAAACCGCCAAAATTATATAGTTTTATTCCACAGGGGAGGGGGTGGGGCGCGGAGAAATGGGAGAAGGGAGAGAAAGAGAGAGAACAAGGAATAGATAGATAGATAGATAGATAGATAGATAGATAGATAGATAGATAGATAGATAGATAGAGAAAGAGAGAGAGAGAGAGAGAGAGAGAGAGAGAGAGAGAGAGAGAGAGAGAGAGAGAGAGAGAGAGAGAGACGTACACGAGCACATAATATGTTCATACACACGTACTGTCTCACCCAAGGTCTCACCACATCCTCTCTTTCACACATGCATGTCATGTACATTTGTTAGCTCTCACAAACAGACCCACGGTGTAAATATTGCATGTTAGTGAAAATGAACAATAGGGCCTATCGTTATCGGTGATGATGTTTAAGCTAATTACACAATCAGTATTCTGGTAGTTACTCAATGGTATTCTGAAAAGGTTTTAAAAAGTTATTGAAAATTCTTATATTAGGCTACCTGGAATACCTGAAGGATTTAATTTCTGACACAGAGGTTGCCGTGATGACCCTCCACCATTCACGGTCGCTAGCCGTCGTTGCACACCCTTCTATATTCGGGCCAATCTGTTTAAATGTTGTCCATCTGCGTCTTAATGTTTTAATGTTGTCCATCTGCGCCTGACGTTCTCCTGCCACACAACCTTCCTTCAAGCACCTCTTTCAGATTGGTCTGGCGTGTCGTTTTAAGTGACCAAAGTATTTTAGCATCTGTTTATACTTGATGTATTACAAGTTAAGATATGGTAAGAGTTCAATGGATAATGACTGATCAATGCAGGATCGTTAATCCAGGCTGAAAGAAGGAAAAACAAAAACAAAACAAGCCTGCTGTTAAATTTCAAGAAAACGACTTTACATTAAATATATATATTTATATAAAATCTGTAGTTGGCTATTAAGTCAGGCCACAATAATAATTATTTTTCTTTGTTGATATTATATCACCGACGTAAATTGGCGCCAGTCATCCATTCGTCATATAGTACAAAAATTAATGTCATGCCTGTTATAAGAAGAGGCCTACTTGTCGTGTGAGAAAGTTTATTGAACCTCTCATTTCACCACCATTACCATTTAGTTTTAGTACACATAGTATTTTTGTGTGGAGGGGGGGGGGGGGGGG